ATGGCTACATAGGAATAAGAGAAATGAACTACATCTATAAATCCGTAAAACCAGCTAAGTTGTTCTTCAAAAATATGTGACAGAAATAATCTCATAGACATAAAAACTCAGAGAAAATACATAGCCTATATAAAATAATATACAGTAGCATATATAAATATACGTAAAAATCAGAGAAGCGGTTATTGGAATATATATGTGACAGAAATAGTGTCAGACACACGAAAACTCAGAGAAAAAAAGCAGTCATGAGCCTTTCACCCCGGCAATGGCAACATCCAGGCATTCTACAGGGGAACAGAAAACAAGAAGAGATGGCCTCATACAATATTACGTATCCGACCAAAAAAAAAAAAAATATATATATATATATCCTTATGTGAGGGGAAAAAAAAAATTCTGTGCCATTCAACTTGGACTTTGGGTGTAACCGCAGACAACGTGTGTCATGAACAATGTCAAAGAAAATGATACTTCTGGACTCCTTTCAAAAACAAAGATATGATCAAATTTAAAAAGCCAAGGACAAAGAAATTGGCATAGATTATTAATCACTTTACCATTCATATCAATAAGAAACTAAAATTGATCAAGTAGGAATTGCAGTGAAGGAAGAGAATTTGATGTGAAAAGCTAAAAATTAAAAAATAATTTTAGAAAAATCGGTACGTAGAAGGCATGGTGGAAGAAACACGTGACCGCGACCATCTTTGAATTTAACTTTAGGACATGAGCAAATAATAAAACAAACATGAAGTTTAAAAAAATAATTATTTCCAGCTCATAAGATTTTTCATAACCTTTTCCCCTAAAATGCGGGGGTTATCTCTTTCATCTGTCCTGGTCAGATGATGTTCGACTTCCAGCACGATTACACCCAGCTTGCGTAGAGAGACGTGTGCTGAGTGGGAAGTACATCGAGGTCCCGAGAACATCCCCCCGTTCAGTAGCTCATGAGCAGGACTCAGAGCACCGAACACATAGCTGTGCTCACGGCTGTCATTTCCTGCAGCAAAAGACCAATCAGGAGGGAAGGGTGTGTGGGGAGACATCCAGGGGCACCCCCGCAGTTTCCGCGCATCCGCGCCCGGAGCGGGCCACACAGGTGCGCTGGTTCTTCCAGCCACGAGCCGCGGTGACACCTGGGAAATGCTGTCCATCAGGGGGTTTAGGTAGGGACACAATGGCCAGAGTTTCTACCGGGGGCCACTCACAGATGCACCTCTGTCTCCCATGTCCCCAGACACTAGACACCCAGAAGAAAAGCAGGTGTCCGGAGAAGACACTGTGGGAATGAGGGGACCCTGCCCAAACCTCCGCTCCCGGGGGGCAGCGGAGGGCTCGCCTTCGCCGTGGCGCCCCCAAGATAGTAGTCCTAGACTGCTCTGGTAGCCCTCCCGCGCAGGGAACCAGGGCTATCTGGGCTCCAGACTCTGAAGTAATGGTTTGCTTTTCCACCCCTGTGTTGTTTGTTACACTCAACTGTTTTAATGTGCATGTATAATTCCTACAAATAATAAAGACATCATAGTATTTAAAATAAACCGAACCTGCCAGTTGTACTGTTCAAAGAAGGCATCTAAAGCCTAAGGACGCAGGAAATTGGAAAAAGCATTCCCAGCTCAAATGTTTCCAACTTATGCTTGGAAACGCAATTATCATTTGCTCGGAAACTCAATGACACATACTAATTTACTAGATGTGATTACACTTAACTTGGTTCCCCGGCAAATGAGAGCCTTTCTTTCTTTCTCTCTTTCTTTCTTTTTTTTTTTTTTTTTTTTTTTTTTTTGAGAGGGAGAGGAAGTGAGGGAGAAAGAAAGACAGGGAGAGAAATATCGCTGTGAGAGAGAAACATCGATCTGCGGCCCCCTGTGTGCACCCGACCGGGGACTGAATCCGCAACCCAGGCTCCGGCCCGAACCAGGAACACACCCAGCGACCTTCCACCTCACGAAACATTGCCTAATCCACTAAGCCACACCCGCCACAGCCAACACTCACTTTTAAGACCCATTTCCGTCTCTCTATTTTCAATCATTATCAGCAACTGCATCACTTCTCTCTCTAGAGTGTCGTAAAAGAAATCCCAAGGCCGTCATAGAATTAGTAGGCAACTGAAAGTGAGGGCTTGATGGGGAACCTCAGTATTAAAGGGGAGCATTCACCAACTGCTGCATCAAGGGTGGTCGTTGGCCCAGAAGCGTCGACATGTGCCCTGTTGGGCGTGCGGACGCGTGCCCACACTGACGGGGTCTGAGGCTGCGTTTTAGCAAGATGCCAGCGGGCCCGTGCACACGACAGGCCCGAACAGAGCCGTGCCGATCGTTGGGAAGCTGGGGCTGGCCCCTGCAGGGGCAAGAGCCTCCCCAGCTGTGCACGGAAACGGATTCATCCCTAGCACTCTGGGCTTTTTACCCACACAGCTCCAACCTCACACCGCTGACGAGATTCTCCACGCCCATAGCCTATAAACGTGTTCGAGCCTCCCCGAGAACAAAGCCCGTGAAAATCACGTCCAAAGCCCCTGACCACGGCCCTTCTCTGTCTGCTTCCCCACACAGGCAAGCTTAGAGAAGGAACTCTACCTTCTAGAAGGAGCCGTGTGCACTCGGCTTGCACGTCGTCCCTTACACTTCACGTATGGGCTCTCGTGGCTCCCTAGTAACCGCCTGACACAGCTTGCTAGTCGTGTCCTGACTACAAAGTCCTCGGGGACCCTCGAAGTCCATCTGCTACGGACCGATCACAGAACTGCAGGGTGGCGGCCTGGATAAAAACCGCTAACGCTTACTCACATAATGTGTGTTCTGATGGATAGGCATCTTTGTTTTTCACTCACATGTGAGAGTATTGCATTTTCCATAATATGCCCCAAACTCCTTTCAGACAAGATAAGTCTTTAATCATTCAGTCTCAGCCCCTCATAAATTTTCAAAACTCATCAACTGCCCCCTGGTTGAGTCTCCTCTCATACTATACTCCTCAGTGTCACATAAAAATTCAGTGAAAATGGAGCCTCGCTATTAAAAGAAGGGAAAAAAAACCAGCCTGTGTTCCATTGGGAACGCCTTCTACCTACTCAATAAATTACCGAACAACCTTAAAAAGTCATTTGTTATGCTTGATATATTCAGGAACTATACTCTCCAAAACTTTAAAATTTGATACAGCGATATAAAATTTGATATAATGAGGATAATTTCCTCTATGAGATGGCTGGTGAAGGAAATCTCCTAACAACGATAAAAATTCATAAGCATTCCTTGAAGCATTTCAATTCCATTACTGCAATAAAGGCCGAGTTGAAAAGGAAGCTGGGACAAAATGTGCACTCCCCACGGTTGCCCAAAGATTCCTGTCACCACGGGCCAGCTCAGCCTCAGGGCCACAGTGGCCTTGTGTGTGTTCTCGGTAAACAAAGCGACAACCGATCGTGTTCGGTCTGTCTCGGTGAATGACTAGCCCTAAACATGCTCAAACAGGGATCAGATGTTTCCAGATTCAGTTTAGTTCAACATGATAGTCAGACATGCACCTCCAAAACAAAAGACAGACAAACGAAACACACACACACACACACAGACACGGGAGAAATCAAAGAAGTGCACTGAACGTCGAGACTTGAGTTTGCTGAGCACTGGGCTGACGTCTCTTCAGAGTTGCTCACGTGAACTAGGGTCTGTTTTCACCATGTTCCAAGTTTCGATTCCTGTTTCCTGCCAGAGCGGATCGCAGTTTGCACGCGAGCCGCATTTCAACAAACCGGACGGGGTCCACACGACTCCACGGCCATGTCAGAGGGAAGGACTGCCTCATTTGGAATTTCCAGGGAGAAAGACTTCACACGACCTTCAATTCTATCTTCCTTCTCAGGGATCAGGCATAACCGTATCACCCGCAGTCAGTGATATTAAGTACTAATAATGGGTTTCTGAAGGGACCAGCATGGTCCATCGTGCAGCTGAAGGCCCTACAGCAGCATTTGTTAGTTCACACAGGCGCATGGTTGGTCTGCGGACTAGAATACAGCCCTGGCCGGGGAGCTCAGTTGGCTAGAGCGTTGTTCTGATACTCCAAGGTTGTGCATTCGAATCCCGGTCAGGACACACACAAGAGTCAACCGGTGAATGCATCAAATACGGTTCCGGCGGCCCTCCTTCCGAAGAACAAGCAGACCTCAGTGCCCGTCTCAGGGAGCTGGGGTCAGCTCCCTCGGGGCCCCTGGTCCATCCACAGAAGCCCCGAACGTCCCTTCATTCGGCAGCCACAGGGGGTCTTCAGCATCACTGCCCACGACCCTCAGGGCAGCGCCTGTGGTGGCCATCGCAGCACCTCCAAGGTGCCTTGAGGGCTTCCCGACCCTGCTCCTGGGAGAGGCCAGCAGGCCGTCAGCCGGGCTCCGCATCCCCCCTGCCGCGTCCCCGCGAACGCCAGGCTGCGCCGGCCCAGGGCCTGGCTTGCCCCACAAGCACAGCTTGGCCGCCTCCAGCACGGCCCACGGTCTCAGCCCTCGGTGCAGGGCAAGACTGCCCTGTCCGTCCTCATCGACGGGACAGCGCAGGGAAGTCAGCTGTCCCCTGCCCCCGAAGTGGAGCGCAAGAGCCCTCTGCCCGGGGCCTGGGGGGCCCAGGAGATGAGTGCGCCAAGGAGCCCTGCTGGGGGTCAAGTGGGCAGCGCCTCCCCAACCGCCTGCACGAGCGGCCCTCCTTCCGCGCAGAGACGCACCCACAGGACAGCCAGAGGGGAGGGTGGGGGGCTGGCCCCAGCTGGCACCTTTCGGAAGCCGCTGGCAGAGGTAAAAGGCTTTTCTGTTTCTGTTTGAACAGCCACGGAAGCCGCGGGCGGCTAGGCGTTAGGAAGGTCCGAGCACGCTTCTCCTTTGCTTGTGCACGCGCGCACACGCACGCGCGCACACACACACAGGGACGTGGGCTGCCCAGCGGCAGAAGCGCGGCAGGCCCGCTGCGTGGCGGTCAGCGGCGGCCCGCGCTGCTTACCTCGCAGAAGCTGTGGCACGGCTCCTTCCGCGGGTCCCAGGACTCCTTGCAGGGCTGCAGGCACTGGGGAGGACAGCAAAGGTGAGTGAGCCACCACGCGCGAGAGAGAAGCCGAAGGCGCCCGCCGCCCCCTGCGCCTGCTTCCCCCGGGCCGCGGTCCCCGCTGCGCCCGGCCGGGCGGGGCCGCCGCGGCGCGGCTGGACGGGCGCAGACGTGGCCGTTTCAGCGCAGCTGGACGGGGTAGGGGCGCGGCGGGGAGGGGACCCATAGGACCAGGGGTGGCGGCCACGCTCAGACAGGACAGTGGCCATCAGAAAGGCCGTTTAAAGGGGGTCGGTACACAGGAGTTTTCTTCTCTGACAAACTCATACTAATTTGCTTTTCTACTGGCAACGTAAAGCTACTGGTTTTTTTATACTGGCCTGTAAGTGAGTGAGGATGCACTGTATAAATATATGTGTGTGTGTGTCTATATATCTATACACATATATATACACACACATATATATCTGTGTCTACATACATAGATATACATACATATATCTATACACACACACATACTTATATCCACATACATTGTTGTTAACTTCGCTTTACCTCAGTAAATCCAACAGCACTAACACTCATAAAGTTTAATTGCTCTATGGCAATACAGTGAATAAACATGACATGACTTTCACAATAAAGTTGGAATATATGTATGCATCGCTCTTGATATATGCACTTTAATATATCACAGACAATACCTGACATTCTTGTTCAATAACAATTATACTATCAAATAATAGTGCTGAAAAAACAAAACGTCTGTATAACTGCTGGACAATATATAGTTTATTCCTCTCTGTAGTATTATAGATAACATCATACAAACAGAACAAAATAATAATATCTAGTAATAAACTGGAGGTAGCCTCAGAGTTGAAATGCAAATGTTGCCTGCATACGAATGGAGATTTGATTTCCAAAATTGTATCGTCACACAAGTTTGAGTCGGTAAAATTAATAGTCGTATACAGATAAGTGTCAGTCACTTAACACTGGCCCAGCGCTGGTACCCGTGAGCTCAGGACTATTTAATCTAATGCTTCTTATTTCGCTATTCGTCAGTTTCTCCCTGAGGCCCAAGTACTCAGTGACATTTCAGACACGTATAACGTAAAATTCAGGACAGATACGGATATTCCTTTTCCATCTCCTATCTAATAACCTCTCTGTTTGAAAATAAAGACGGAGTTCCACGATAAACGGGAAAATCTATGGTAAGACTTCATCTCCAAATACCTGTTGCCATTTTTAATTAGAAGTGTATGTAAAAACACAGCCCCGCAGCCGGCTGCACAGCCCGCCCGTCAGAGCGATGCTGCCGCGGGGCGGCGGCGCCCAGCAACGGGGCACGGCCCTGCAGTCCCGGGGAGGCGCCGGCGCGGCCCGCTTCCCGCCACCCCGAGCCAGGGTCCCCAACATCAGGGCTCAGAAATCTACTGCCAAGGCCTCCTGGGAGCTCTCATTATCACCCAGCTTGGAAAGGAACCCCCTTACCATGGTAAATATTTTACAATATACATATGTGTATTGGATCATCCCACTGTGCGCCTTAAACTTATACAAACTTCTATGTCAACTCTATCCCAACAAAACTGGGGAAAACTGAAGGGACTGGATGCAAACACAGTCTGTAGCATCTCTTTTTTTTTGTTTGTTTGTTTCATGTAACTTTCATTAAGACACCATCCGTTTCGTATGAGAATATTTCAGATTTTAAATTCTTTACTATTGTATATGAACAACTGCTTTTTAGTTCATGAAATGTTTTGAAAAACCAGAGCTCCTCACGGACACTTTTCCAAGCCCTCTCCAAGCTTACGCCACGTTTATGGATGTTCACCTCTCTTCAGCAGGTTCCAAAACAAACGTACCATTTTTCCCCAAATGAACAATTCTAAAAGAATGCCATTTTTCTCATAGCCATGAAGGAGTTTAAACACTTGTCAACTTGACCTATTTTACGAGTTCCTTAAAGAGTTCCCTTTTTTTTCCCTTTTGTAGAACTGTGCCAATGCCTCAGCCTCAGGGCTCCCCCGAAGACATTCAGGCGCTGGCTGCCAGCCCCCGACATTTAGCGGCCGTTTAATAAGCATGCCTGACCCAGTTCCTCCGCGACACCATGTGAAGTGACAAAGGACGCTTTGTAGCACCCCCGGAGGTTCTGTTCCGCGGGAGAGGTGACCTTGATACACGGGGACCACGCGACAAGGGCCGAGGGCGGCGCACGGACATGGGTCCAGCCACGTGCAAGGTGCGTCTGTCATCTCCCTCGGGAAACATCCGGCACGCATGTCGTCCATATGAAGTCTGCTCCGTGCGGTGCGGCTCACGAGGTCGCAGGGCACTCGCGTCCCTCCTGTGTTCTGACCGGGCTGAAGGTGTACATGATGGAAACATACCGCTACACAGGTACCGCGTTGTCTTTTCACATCTAAGACGTCCATGCGTGGAAAAGTCGGAACTTCGGGGATCTCCACAATGGCCGAGGGCCACCACGCTCCAGACAGCGTGGAGGGCAGTCGGGCTCCTTGTGCAGACCAGGTATCGCTTACAGAGCTGGGCATATTTCCGAACCGCTAATGGGAGCAATACGTGACGTACCGGCCCGGCTGCTCCGCAAGCCGCCTGCCAGGTTTAGCGCCGGCCGATGCCATTCGTTTCAAGCCCTATTGTAACGGCACGCGGCCTCCTTTCCAGCAACGACGCATCAGCGGTGTCTAAGCTACAACGCGAAACGGGATTCATGAGGGCGTAAAGTGTCCCTTCGGTACTCCCCTCCGAAAACTGGCAGACGAGAACAGCCAAATGTAGACAGCTGAGTACATTTTGCAGGATACACTTGCCAAAGCTCAATTTCTCTACAGTGCTCTTGGCTAAGACATTGGTTTCAACAAAAGTCAAAGTGGGGAAAAAATAATGACAGGCTTTTCTCTCGCACCTCAGACAAGAAGAAAACAATTCCTGTTTCTCCAAGTTGTAATAATTTGTTTAAAAAGTTTTGCCAAAAGAGACAGCTGGAAATCTCTCTTCTATGAGACTTAATGCTACTTAACAGGAAAAATACTACCAAGGACAACTGCATCAGGGTTCACTATGTATCATGACTCTATGTGTCCTGACCATATACTGCCTCAAACTACAAAATACAGTAATGGAAGTTAATACTAGGAAGTATTTTATTTTATTTTTAATACTCACCCAAAGATATGTTTATTCATTTTAGAAGGAGGGGAAAGCGAGAGAAACATCGATGTGAAAGGGAACCATTGATCGGATGCCTCCCATACATGCCTGGACCGGGGACCCAACCCACAACCTAGGCATGTGCCCTGACTGGGGATCGAACTCACCACCTTTTGGTGTGCAGAGGACAAGGCTCCAACCAATGGAGCCACGCGGGCAGGATGATGCTAGCCCGTGTTTTAGGCTTTCAGATTTTAGACTGATCAACTGTTTCCGATTATTTCCTCCCAGGTGACTGGTGCAAACCCAGCAAAGAAAAACTTCAAATTTCCGACGACTTTTTTTAAAAAAAGAAACAGGTTGAGAGAGCTAGTCACATAAATTATCATTTGGGAAACGGTTGTTTTCCAATTATTTACTTAATCTCGGGGTGGGGGGGCAGAAATCACAGTATTGCTTGCTCAGATAGTAACTTTATATTCACCTGAGGTTTTAAAATGCACAGTAAAAGGAAAGGTGTCCGTACAGTGTTCGACGGGCGCAGGGACACAAGAGCACTGAGGCCTGGGGACATTCCGCACCCCATTTGTAGCACCAGCTCATCGGATCCTGGTGGAATGCATTCATAGATACATTGAGGTTGCTTTGTCACAAGTGCCCAGAGCTGGCCCACTCCCACCCTTCCAGGCCTGGAGCAGATAGGAATCTCCGTGAAGGGTGGGGTCGCAGTAAGAACCACCGAACCAGCGCGGGAAACAGCGCGTCCAGGAAACCGGAGCTCTCCCGCGTCCCGGCAACTCGGCCTCTGGTTGTCACCCGGAACTGCCTGGTGCTCCAGACCTCACACAGCAACCAGTGGCACGGGTCGCATGTAACCCTTTCAACGTTTAAGTATGTTGCGTGCACTGTACAGGTCTCTGCGTAGTATGGTTTATGGACAGCGTAAGGCACGAGGGGAGTTATTTGAATTGCCTGCTGGTTCTCAGTGGACGGATGCACTCGGTGGACATCGGGCAAGGTCTGGAGATGCTTTGATGGGCCGTAACTAGGGAGAGAGGCCTAACTAAGGCTTCTTGTAGGTTGAGGCCAGGGAGGCTGCTTAAACATCCCCCAATGCCCAGGACAGCCGTCCCCCCACCACCCCCAGAACAAACGATCTGGCTGCAAGTGCTCATGGGGCAGAGCTTGAGAATTTTGGGATCCACTGCAAGAGCGATGCCGTTCACGCGTCGTCGTCGCAGAGCCGGGCTTGCCAAACCACGTCCTCCAGGGAGACCCGGGCAGGCCACTCAGCCGGGCCCTCTAACCGGGGAGCGGTTTTATCTATTTTGGTGGCATGCATCCTTCTCAGAATGGCGTGTGCTCGTGTGAGCTCCCTGGTAAGATTAGTCAAAAATGATCACATCAAGCCCAAAGTAGATGGGTTTGCATGGAGAACATCGGGCCAACGAGCAACTCTTGCCTAACCCACTTCCTCAACCTCAGGGGAAGTGCTCCTGGAAGCTGGTCTCGTTTCTGTTCTCCAAAGCAACATCCCTCTTGCTGCTGCTCCGTCCTCCCTACTTCTTCCTTCAAGGCACCTGCTCTGTCCCTCCACCCACATCCACAGCTGCTCACACCGTCTGTCTTGGACCGTGGCTGCCCACACATCACGCCTTGCTTTCTCCTCTCTGCAACCATGTAGAATTTCCAGTTTCCCCCAAGAGCTCTCACTCCTTCTTTGTGACACATGTGTGGAGTCTCTGCGTTGCACTGAAGCCACACTCTCCCCAACTGCCTACGCGGTCCTCCACAGGGACCGTGAGGGACTATGCCTGCTCACCATCACGTGA